GGCTAGTGTATATTTGTATTTGATGTGTCCTTTTGGTATAGTTTACTTGCTGTCATTCATGCCATCAAGAGTGAAAAAACGGCATAAGTTAACTCTTGAGTATTTTCTTGGAAAAAAAATGGCGCAATGCAGCAAATCGCGTATCAATACGCACAGCGGGGAGCAAATCTAGTGCTCGTTGCACGAAGGGAAAACAGGCTGAGAGTAATAAGCGAGAACGCGAGGCATTTGGGGGCTCCCAATGTGTTGATAATGGCTACTGATGTTGTCAAGGAAGATGAATGTAGGAGATTCGTAAATGAGACAATCAGCTATTTTGGACGTTGTAAGCCACGGCCTTCGGTTTTGGTTCATTTTTGTCAGCGTTTGATTCCCATGTGCAGTGGATCATCTAGTGAATACTGTGAGTCTAGGGCATACCTTCTACTTCGAGGAAGCTAATGATTCGAGCGTGTTCCCCCTTTTAATGGTATGGTTTACGCGTAGAAAGATTTATTAGTGTTTTATCCGAAACAAAACCAAAAAAATAAAAAATAAAATAAATGATTTGAGAATTGAGATGGGTTATAATATATACATATATACAGGATATAAATTTCTGGGGTAATGTGTACCCGACTTATGTGGCGCTACCTTATTTGCGGGAGAGTAATGGGCGTATCATAGTGAATGCTTCAGTCGAGAACTGGTTGCCCCTTCCTAGGATGAGCTTGTACTCTGTAAGTTAAATCTGTAACTATAATACTTTTCTTGTTCCATTTTTCGATTTTTTGTTATTGTGACTTGTGAGTGTAGGCTGCGAAATCGGCACTGATGACGTTGAGGTTTGAAGTGAAAGATGAGGTCGGGATAACTGTAGCAACCCATGGTTGGATCGGAACTGAGATTGCTGGCGGCAAGTTTATGGTCGAAGAAGGTGCTGAGATGCAGTGGAAAGAGGAACGGGAAGTAAGTTCTTCGTGTTGGGAAAAAAAAACAAAAATTGCTCTTGCTTGTAAATGAGCCGAGCTCGACCTCAGGGTGCTCGTGCTCGAGTTCTTAACGAACTGAGGGTTGTGCTCGTTGGGCTCGTTAAGTAACCGAGCCAAAAATCGAGCTCGGGCTCAGCTTGTTTTATCAATATTAACGAGTCAGAGTTCGAGCTTTAACAAGTTGAACTATAAAAAATTATATAAAACTTCTTTTTTCGAGCTTTAATGAGTCTTATCGAGCAACAATACGAGCTCGACCTCGTCTAGTTTATCAAACAAGCCGAGCTCACGAGCGGTTCGTTTCGTTTAACAGCTCTACGTGCAACGGCTAATCCATAAAGGGGGAAAAACAAATATACTAAACATTTTTACAATTTTTTTTTTGGCAAGGTACACGTGTCGGGTGGCGCGGTGGACGAGTTTGCAAAGCTGATAGTGGCGGGGGCATGCAGGGGGGACCCGTACGTGAAGTACCCGAGCTGGTACGACATATTCTTCATGTATCGAGTTTTTGCTCCGAAAGTTCTCTACTGGACCTTCCGGTTCCTCCTAACTAACGGCGGTGTGAAAAGAGCGACTTCGTATATTGGCACCGGGCGGCCGCTCATAGAGGCGGCTGACGCCGCCTCTCCTCCCCGGAAACACCTCTATCTGGAGGCGGCATCTCCGCCTCGGAGCTTCTATGGGAGCCCACTGACTTCCTCACAAGGGTCTTACCAGAGGAAATAGGAGTAATAAAAATTACGGTCTTTTACATATTTTTACTGTTTGATGTGTGCTTTTTTTCTTTATAAACTTTGTGTTAATGCTTCTGGAGTGGAGTGGATTCTTGATGATGGGTTCAATAAGCAGCAAAACATCTGCAGATTTGCTATGCTCTTGTGATCATTTTCAGAGTTAGTAGAGTGATTTTGGAGATCGTGATCGAGATTGAACCAAATTGACCAAAATTTAAGAAAGTTGACCAAAACTTGAGAGTTAGTACACTGATTTTGGATTACAATAGGCAAAAATGGGAACCATTATAAATTAGTGGACTGAAACTGCAATTTCCCTGAATAGAATAAAAAAAAAAAAAAAAACAGAGTGCTTTTATTCGAAAATTTCAACTAGAGATAATCGTCGACCGAGATATCGAGATGCTCGCGATTGTTTATTTCCGAACACTCGTTTGGCTGCCGTGAATCGACCCTCGACCCCGACAGACGAGCGTCGACTGCTAGGCCGGCGTCCGATGCGACCCTCTGCACCGACTTGGGCGAAATCCCGAGGGCGGCACCGGCGGGCAAGACGAGAGGGACGTTAAGGGGGCGCTTGTTTATGGAATTTTTCAACCAAAATATTTCATTTTGTTAACTATAGTTAAAGTTGAAAAAGTAATGTGGTTAATTGTTAGTGGAATTTAAAAAATATATTAAAATAATATTTAAAATAAAAATGATTAAAGTTGATTTGATATAAAGTAGGAGATAAATGATTGGAAATGATTGGTAGTTAAAATTATGTGAGTGGATGAATAGTGAATTAAAGTTGATGTGATGTGTAAGAATGATTGGTTTTTATTATTTAATTGTATGAATAATATTAAAGATAGTGGGATTGAGTTAAAGTTGAGTTAAATATTTGAGTTGAAAAAATTGGATTGAAAAAATCCATAAACAAGCATGCCCTAAAGTTTCCTGATGACGTGTTGCCACGAAGGCAGTAGGACGCCACGTCGTGGGCAACTGCAGCTGCCTCCGGAGTGGCGTATGAGCCTAGCCAGAGACGGTCGGGAGTCCCTGGGACCCTAATTTCCGAGACCCACTTCCCCCACTTGCGGCGGCGAATGCCCTTGTATTTGTTCTTCGCCGTGTTGTCTCCGGTTATGTATGCGCTCTCGTACGATGAGTAGCTCATTTTTGTTCTTGGTTTTATAAACTTGAGTGTGAATTGAGGAGAAATGGTGAAATAAAGGGGGGAGTATATATAGGTTGAAGAATTTGGAGGTCAAAATGGAAGCTGAGTGTGACTAATTTTATTATATTTTTTAGTGCTTATTTGGATATCAAGAGTCAATATTTTCAAATGTCAAAGTCAAAGGAGGGGTTAGAACCGTAGAACAATCTATTTCGTGTGACAAACAAGTTGGGGGATGGATTTGAGGGAATTAGAATTGCATTAAATGCATTTAAATTTTGTATGTCGGTGACATTTTTCTTGTGAAGAAAAGGACATAGAATTATTATTCTTCTTCAATGGATCCATTTCAATTTTTAAATCACGTAAATTAGTATTAATACTCATGTACAACATGAGTGTTGAGTTAATGAATATATGTGTAAAGTTACTTTATGTCTAATACCAAACTTAACTCTAGAACGAAAATAATATAAAAACAACATCACGAAACATAGATTTTTGCCATGTTAGTATTCGAAGCGTGAGAATCTATCACCTAAACTCAACACGTTTTGAATTAATATATAAGGAGAGAAGTAAGATAGTCGTCAGTAAAGGAGAAACGATAGTGAAAATTTTGGATTAAATCTGAAAAATCATGAAATTGAAATCAGAGTAGCCAAAATGGCATATGATATGAGTCACGTGTGCAATATAATAATTTACTGCAACAAAATAATTGATGGCCATCGGCAACAAATTGAAAACGTAAAACGTGGAAGACCTAATTTATAATTTATTATTGTTATATGTTCGCATGTACAAAATTGGTCAAAATATATTTTAGTAAGGTCATAATATCATTCTGGCGTCATAAACAGAAATTCGTGGTCGGCCAGTAATTTAATTTGTTACAAATTGATGTCTTATTCTCTTCATTCATCTTATTCCACCTTTAATTTTATTAATATAAATTCAAAACGAAAACCAAACATTATAATATATTCTTATTCATCTACTTATATAATTATTTTGATGAGATCTTTTCATTATATTTTTATCTTACAAAAATTTTGGACTTGATTGTTTATGAAATAATTTGTTCAAATTGAGTTATTTTGGTTTACCATAGTTAATTTTGAAAAAAGTGATATAATTAGTTGTAGTAGAATTTTAATATTAAAATAATATTTAAAATAAAATAATTAAAATTAATTTGATGTAAAAGTAAGAGATAAATGATTGGAAATGATAGGTGATTAAAATTATGTGAGTGAATGAATATTGAATTAAAATTGATGTGATGTTTAAAAATGATTGATTTGTATTATTTAATTATATGAATAATATTAAAGATAGTGGGTTTGAATTAAAATTGAGTTAAATTTTGAGTTGAAATAAAAGTGAGTAAATTAATCTGTATTTTTCTTTAGTTATCAAAACATTTTCACATCAAATTCCATAATTACAACCAACCTATTACCCAGTCTTACAATATTAAAAATTGTTTTGTATCTTTCGGTGGTGTGTGAAAGCTCAAAATATTGGGGCAATTTATTTATAAAAAAAATATTGAAATTAAGTGGACAAAAAAAAAAAAGAAAAATGGGAGTGGACAAGCATAAAACACACGTATTCCTTGAATACGTTTTTAAAAAAAAAATTAATTAAAAAAACGTATTCCTTGAATACGTTTTCATTTAAATGTTTTAATTAAAAAAAAATCGTAAACAGTTTTCAAAATAATTTTCGTTAAATAAAAAAATAATAATAAAACCGTATTTAAGTAATACGTTTTCAGAAAACGTATTTACTAAATGCGTATTAAAAAAATTTATTTTTTTTTTTAAAAAAATTCATTTAATCAAAACGTATTTAAGGAATACGTTTTACATTTAAATGTACACATAGGAAACCATGCTCTCATGCTATAGCTGTGTGTCGACAACTTAATACTCCACCGAAGTTATTGTACGATCCCTATTTTTGGACGGAGACCTGGGTAGCTCAGTTT